TATTATTTATGTGCATAGTAGTGAGCACTATTTTCCTCTTGTGCTCACTCCCACCTTCTCTTCACGGATGCAGGTTATGCAGGTGCCGGATGACGGAGGATGACGAGTGGGTCGATGGTTGACTATGTTTTTTTATGATTATGCTTCCGTTTATGAATAATATGTGGTGTCTGAGAACCTCTTTTGATTGAGATACTTTGAACTATTTTCAAAACGTATTTTGAGAACTTATGGTCGAATGATTGGTTTTGGATATTCATAAAGGTTTTGTCTATTGAATATCATGTGCATGCAATATTGTTTAGCAAATAATAATGTAGAGTTGGGTTCTGAAAGGTTAACGAAAACCATGTGAACAACCATATATGACTTGGGTTGATGTTTAGTGTTGAATAACGCCCATGATTTCGAAAATGAGTTTCGAAAATTTTATACTGATTTTTGGAAAGTTCGGAATTTCTTTAAATCAAAGTGGGGTGTTACAGCTTACATGTACGTAGTTTCATGCTTAGGTATGTTCTTTCTCTTTCGATGTATTAATGAGGCTTCTTTCTTTTGCTCTTGATTGTTGTTTCTTGTTAGCTGTTTTAGTGTATAATTATTTTTTATGTACAAAGGCTTCCTTTTTCCTTTTCTAAAATTAACAGGTTATTCGTGTTGATTTATTAAATTAGATTAGATGAATATATCTAAAACATTTAGTTAAGGTGAATACTCTTCTGTTGGTTTTTTGGTATTTAAAGTTTGTGGTAGGATGTTTGATGGAGCATGTAGAGAGCAACAGAGAAAGTTTGTTTCGGGGATTTGAAAGAGCTCGCGATAGCTTCACCGAATCTGCTACATTGAGAGAACAGTTTGTCTTGCGAACCATTATGAGTCCAAGAGTTGTAGCTACTTTCCAGCTGTGTTAATTAAGAAGGGTATGAGAACAATAAACGTCAATCTGAAATTAATTATCGAGTGGTGTTGATCTCTTGTTAACAAGGCATAAGCTGGTGCCACAGTTGGAAGCAGTTTTAGATCCTTCATGACGATACAACGTTGTAGTGGGGTTAATGCTAAAATTCGTGTTGGAGGTGCAATCGTCACTTAATGGGTTGTGGGTACTGGGAATTTGATCGGGCCTGGATCGAGCAGAGACTTGCCTACGGTCCTGGGTTCGAGGAAGATCGGACCAGGGATCATTTCACCACCAGATTGTGGGGAATATGAAATTGGGATTCATTCCTTTTATTCGATTTCGTTCTGTTTATTAATCTTTTGTGATCTTCTATTTTGTTGGTTATTACTTTTTCTTTATTGCTATTTAAATTTTCATTTATATTGTTGAACTAGAGCCGCCTATACGTGTTTAATAAACACCGAATTTTCGCAAGAGTATAGACTAAAGTTGGGTCGGTTGTGCGTTCACAGCCG